CTACAACCTGACTGATGTGTATGTCCATAATAACAATCTCTGTGTGCTGTGAATTAAACTGTTTCACACCTATATATATCAGGGTCTCTGAAGACTGGTCCTTGCAGTTAAGCATTTAATTGTTCCTTCAAGGCCGTCACAAGGCAATTTACCATGTGATGTGGCAAAAAAGTTCCAAGTCCAATTTACTCCAACATCACTCTGATGAAGGCATAAATTAATGAAATTTTTGCAGTTTTCATATTGTCCCGTGCAACCATCACTAAAATAGTGCACCGTCTTAACCTTACCATTTATCTCCTTTTCGATGTAGTTGATGGTTTGGCTTATGAATCTATAAACAAAGTCTATGTCATGAGTCAAGTCATCTGAAACAAAGTGCATGATTGTTGATTCCAATGATAACTTTGCACCTCTCCTTGTGTCACAAATTTGTAATTTTCGTAAATGTAAATTTGTAAATTACCAATGCATCATCATCATGATTCTTTTTTGCATTTCTTAAGAAACCTCGTTTGTGCTTTAGTAATAAAAGTGTGTGCCAATTAGCTGGTTGATCAATTTGTTTACTGACAATGAGACAGCAATTAACTGCGACCTGTTAACCATCATCCATTGTTGAAACTTTATCTCCTTTTTGTCAAAATCATCTCTTTCCCTGCTTCCAGCTCCATCATTATCAATATTGGAAAGTTTTTCTTTGATATAAGCTCTCAGATTTTGAATACCTGGACATCTGTCACACTGATGAACCCTAAAATCTTTCTTATCTCGGTTACAAACAATCATATCAATGAGTTCATGGTATGACTTCTCTAATTTGACTGCATTCAACATCAAAGCAACGTTCTGATGCATGGTACAGATGCAAACTGAATGTGTCCCAGAAGAGCCAACAAGTACACACCATTTTGGCTGAGGCTACAAAAATTTGAAAATCCTATGTTTAAACTAGGATTTTTTTCTTTAAATGCCTTGTAAAACTCTCCAAGTACACATAGGAGAAGTCTTTTTTGCATATGGACATTCCTCCAAAAGCTTACAAAGTCCTTTTTGCCCAGCATCTGTGACTATACTCATCATCACAGTAGAATGCTGTAATCATATTTTCAGTTTCTTTCGACATTGTTTTCCCCATTTCCTTTCTCTGCAGCTCATTTCCTGGCCTGCCGAGCCATATATTCTGAAACATTAAAAATTTCACAAGTTTTCTTGATTGAACAAAATGGTGGCACCATTGTCAATATTTGAATTTTTCTGTCTCGGTTTGAAACTTTCAATTTCTCATTCATCAAAAAAAATCAGTGAGTCCAGATCCTTGCTTTTCTGTTCCATTATGGAAATATTTTGTCCAGAAGTTCCTTCCTGTACTTCCAAAGATTCTGCTGGAACTTGAATGAAATCAGCAACTTGATTCCTTATTATCAATTTTTGCTCTACTTGCTTTAGTTTTCGCTTCCCATACGAAATTTTTGAATGTGATGTCACTGAGTGAAGCTTAATGGGACTAACATCCATCCTAATTAATAATAAATCCAAACTTTCCCTGTTTGAATCAAAAGAATAGTCACATTCAAAATCAGGTTGTGTAGTATCATCTTTCTCTTCTGAGGAAAAATGTTCTTCCTTTTTCAGACAATCGTTGATGCTAACACAACATGAAGGGCATACATTTTGTCCAGGTACGGTGTGTTTGTTAGCAGCTCTAGCATTAGTTGCCAGTTCCAGGCTTATTTCCCTCAAGGAAGACTTCACAGCTTTCTTGTGCACATTTTCAAGTTTAGAATAACAAGTTAAACTAACAAGCAAAGATATGAATATAATGAATGAACAGTTGACCCTATTTATGTTAAAGAGGAAAACAAGCATTGATTGGTCTTGGGAAATATTAATTAGGTGAGAAAATTGATGAAAGGAGTGACTAAATACATTCATAGATAAACTGTATGTAAATGTGTCAAAGACAACTACTGTTACTTCAATACAAGGAAATTTGAGTAAATGTTGTATCCTGATTCATTTGTTAGCTCAATGCTTCAGGAAGTGTTATTACAAGTCCCATTTAATGGATTATGCAAACATTCAATGCCTTTAGCAAAGGAATTACTCATTACATTATTTCATGATTACATAGTTGAATACTGACGATATAATAATTTGGTGAACAGAGATTAGCCTTTTTCCTATAAGGGTGATATCAGAGAACAATTAATACTATTAAAACTGACTTTATAATTGCATCAATCTTCTGTAACTCATGTAGATAATATTCAGTTTTATTATAGAATTAACCTCAATATAGTTTTAAGCACTCTTTGAAATTGAGCAGCAGTTATCAATATATCATGTGAAATAGAATTTAGTTATATTCGCTTTATAATTTAGTCAATTTTCAGAGGACTATTACTTTAGAACAAGGAAAAAACCATCTCAGGTTTTTAATATAGTAAACTACATGGTTTTAAGATTATTTTCTCCAATTTTGGTTTGATAAGTTTTATCAAACAGTGGATTCCAATAATGTCAAAAAACAGGGCATGAACTCTTTCGTAAATCTTAAAATTCTATAGTAGGGGGGTTTAAAGGTTAACTGGGGGGGATTGTTTTAGGATATAAGTAAAAGCTGTTTCTATATTTGGATTCCTTATACTTGAATTAGGGGGGAGGGAAAATCTTGGTCCAATTTGAATAAAATTGGGTACAATTATGAAAATAATTACAATGGCAAAGGGTATTTGTGAAAATACAAAATGGCCACCACGAGCAATTTTTGACCAAATTTGACTAAAATTAAAATGCTTTTATTTCTGGAAGGAGAACGAATTTTGCAAAAACTATTTACAGGTATACTTAACCCATAGCTAGGTATCATCAGTTAAAACATGGGCCAATTCTGAGATGTTAGGTGTCAAAATAGTTTTTTGCTTGGTGATTTGACATGGAATGACCCCCAAATAGTTGGTTACTGAAGCTGTATAATTGATAAATGTGAAATCACAAGGTAGTTTCCATTAAAAAATTTTTTTCAAGTTTATTTTGGAAAAATTTTTCATACTAAAAATTAAAAATTTGGTGGATGATTGCCCTAGTTAACCAAAAAAAAAACAATAAAAGTATAATTGTTTAAATTTTTCTGGTTGACTACCAGTTCACAATCACTTTTGTTAAATGAAAAAAAATAATTAAACTTTCAATACACTTAAAAACTGGAATATCTTTTTTTAAGTATAAGGTCAGATCGGTCTCTCTACATCAGTGATTCCTAGACCAAGTGATGCGAGTTTGTCAGACAAAAAATTCATATACAGCAAACAAAGCTGAACGGGTTGGTTGAAATACATTTTTGAACATATGGGGTCATAAAGGATTTGGGATGTCTGAAATGGGGTTCGCTTTGAAAAAAGTTTGAGAACTTCTGCACTACATGATCATTTACAAGTTAATTCTAAATCAGCAAAATCTGGAAGGTGATACCTGACATAAGATACGAGTTTCTGGACAACAAAGCATGAGACAAGAAACCTCAAAAAAACGTGTTTCTACAATACAATCATTTACTTATTAGTGTTTCCTTTATTCAGCAATAAGTAATTGATGTGCTATCATATATTTGTTTCTGTATCTCTAGTTGAAATGAAAATGCTGCACAAAATTTACCGAGAAAACTAACTTATAAAAATTGGATCCTTTTCTATGTAACTAAGATACTTATTCCATACCTCTTGTTTTTTAATTATGTCTTCTTTGGTATAATCTCCCACAATGGTGATGTGGGGACATGTACTGTACTGACTAACAGCCATTTCTAAACAATGTCGGCAATCTGGTTACTTCCTGAAACAAAACCAACAAAAAAAAACAGAAACCATTTAATATAATGTACCCAGAATATATGGCTTTTAATTTTAAACCAAGAAGTAAACTATGATATTATGATACTAAATGCACTTTCTGATTTCAGTTCTAAATTTTCTAGCAAGTTGTAAAAGTAGTTGACATTTTTTGTGTCTTTAGCATCAGTACTTACTCCATCTGGAAATAATGATTTTCTACTAATACAATGTTTTAATATCTGAAAACATCTTTACCTGTAAGAAATCATACTAAACAGAGGTTGTTGTTTTTTTCTTTAAATTGTCTTTTAAAACTCTATTAATTATGTAAGTTTTTTACTTTGACTACCTGAAAATATGAAATGGTTACTTTGTTCATATAATAAGTTTTTTAAATAATATATTGGAATTGGCAGATTGAAAAATTTGGCATGTTTTACCCATACAGCACAAACATAATATATATATGTTACAATGAATGTGCATATTTACCGTCCATTATACACATTAATGAGTTTGGAGAATGTGCATATTTCTGTTGAATAATAAAATTTCACAAATTAACTGGGCAATGCGTAAAACTATTTCAGAGCCTCTTAAATCACTTTCATTCTCCAATAATATTAAGCTCTTGACATAATACCTACAGAATATGCAAATTTTTCACTAATATACATTGATTGTAATATATTCTTTTATATATATATATATATATATTTCAATTGCTGCTACATACTACAGCTATGGTTTATATTACACTAAATTGCAAGAGGCTTCTAATAACATAATTGAATTATATCTTGAGCTACTGATAAAGTTGCCAACTGATCAGCTCTAAAACGCAGAACACTTCTGTTGGTGCTTTGTAATCTTCAGCATTTTCCCACCTTATGTCTGCTACATTGTTGTGTGTTCCATACTTGTGTTAAAGAGAAAAGAAAATCCATCATATATTTCATTCCAGTGTAATATGTTATGAAAGTTGCTTTTAATTAATTTTTAGTTTTCACAGTGCATTGTTTTAAAATTCAATATAAAATACTAAGTCTCACTCTGTTTAACATGATAAATTAGATATATTTAGCATAATGGCAGAATTACATTTATGAGTATTCAGAAAAAAAAAACACTTAAATACTAGTTATATACAATGAAGTATATAATTATAAAGAATTACAAGTCTTGTGTTATATACAGTTGGAAAGGAAATTCACAACTTTTCTCTCCCTACAAATACAAGTGTGTAATTCTTGTTTCCTATCTCAAAATGTTTGTGCTTTAAGCTTCATGCCCAGTGTAAATATAACTAATTGATGTAAATGTTATCTTATTAATTAGCAATTACAAGCATTAAGCCATTTAATTTAGTATGGAAGAGTTGTAGCTTTAAAGCCATCTAATTTACTTAGAAACATAAAAATATTTGACATATTTTGAGATACAAGACTGTAACAGACAAAGTGTCGAGCACATATTGATCATGAAACACAAGTTCATTTACAAGCAATGAGAAATGAGTATAACTATTGAACTTTTATGGTTTTTATTCTTTTTCTTGAAAATAGATTTATTAATCTGAATTATTCCATTTTACTTATTGGTTTTACATATTTGTATTATCCACAAATGTGTGGGACTTCTCAGCTTTAGACTGCAAGATTTACAGGTTACATCAGCCATAATGTAGAGGAAGCATATTAAATGTATTTTCAACAAAATAATACTACAGTTTCATACCCAGAAATATATATCAGATATTTCTATGTTTCTGTGTAAGTCAGACTGTTTTAAGACTGATACACTCTGACTTTTTACTAAAGTGTCTTGATGCTTCTTGTTAATAATTAATGAAATTTATATAATTATATATATGTACAAGATCATAGACTTGAATTTTATTTTTATACTTATTGACGATTTAATGATTGATGTAAATGTAAGACACTGTATGTGTATTTTGTTCTTACTGTAAGATCTACCTGTCACCTTGCTTATTTAAATTATTTTATTTTCTGAAATTTTAGTTACTGCATATTTTCAAGCACCACTCACTCACTCAGACTCCCTGTCAATGTGTCATGATCAGTCTCAGCCTACTCTTAAAGTTAAAAACAAAAAACAATTTTGCCAGTTATTTGAGCCTTATTAGTATCGTTAATGACAAACTATTCACAGCTATATTCTAACTAGTATCATTCTAAAAAAATTTAAGGTTAAAACTATGTAGGGTTTGGTATAAAAATTAGTTATTAGGACTGCTAAGGAAGTTGAAGGAGCACGAGTTGTCCTGATGCCAGCGACAGCTAACTATACCCCATAGGCCTACTCCCATCGAACTGTAGCAGCAAGTTTAAATTTTGAATTTGGCCTAACCTAGTATTATTCATGCAGAGATACTAAGATAATTAAAAATATTTTAAAATATACTTCACTACTGACTTACATCTGCAGTGAATTATTGCTAAATAAATTAATGTTTTCATAATAACTTTCTCAACATTTACATTAGTTACCAAGCCTAAATTATATATATTTAATAGAATGGAAAGTAGTTCAGCATACGAGAAGTAAAATGACCCAAACATATATTTATTAATTATATTTCAATTAAATTGGATTTTCAAATAGTAGCCAGTGAGAAGACAGTGAGCTAATAATTATAAGGATCACATTCAATTATTCAATACATTTTTTAAAACTCTTTAATCATAGAAAAAAGGAATTGGATATGTAAAAGTACAAGTGTTTTTTGTTTTTTTAAATCAAAAAAGGATAACCTATTTAGTATTCAAATACGATGACGAGAACCCACTGTGAGACTAATAATGGTTGGAGACGGCTTGAATGGGTAATGGAGAAAAACTTTAGTATAAGTTTAACTTAACAGTAAATGTATAACGTTTCGACAAGGTTTTGTTATCTTTAGGTACAAAACCTTGTCGAAACGTTA